CAGCTGAGCTCTTAACCACTGCACCACCAAGGCTCCTCTCTATCATTACTAATGTGTTTTCTCCCCTTAAAGCTTACTTTGTCTGATATTAATATTGATATACCAGCTTCTTTTGTTATAATTTTTCGTATGTTATGATTTTTCCATGTCTTTATTTTAAATGTTTCTCTGGTACTGTTTTAGGTATGTCTCTTGTAAGCTGGATAAATTGGATGTTTAAAAATTGAATCTGATAATTACTTTCTTTAAATAAATGAATTTCTTCAGTTTACATATGCTGAGTTGCTAATACAGTTGGACTTATTTGTACCATATTTTATTTTCATGATCAATATTTTTCTTTTGTTCTCATTATCACTGCTTTTCTTTGCTTCATTTATTCTTTTTTTACTATCAGTGAAAATCGTAAGTGTTATTATAGTTCTTTTTCCCTCTCTGTACATTGTAAGCTATACATAGATTTCTAATCTCTTGGTGATTTTCCTGAATGTTTTAAAAATCAAATATAGTTGTTTATAAATTTCTCTAACAGAGCTTAAAGTTATTCAGTATTTCCATCCTAAACACAAGTCTGTTTTACACACTGTACATGTTGTTACTGATGCCTAGAAATTTAGTTTAATCCCCTTTTAAATACAACAGAAATATTGGTTTTAAAAATATTTAATAGTTTCTTAATTTACAAACATATTTCACCAATTTCTTTCTCACTATTAGTTTTTGTATTCCTTGACTTTTCTCCAAGTACACTTTTCTTCTTGTTGAAAGACACCCTTTAATACTTCTTGTAATAAGGGTCTATGGGTAGTAAACTCTCCGGGTCATTTTGTCCGAAATTGTTTTTATTTTGTCACCCACTTTTTTCTTCTCTCATTGTTAAATTGATACGTAACTTACAAAAACTCCACAATTTGATGAATTTTTACATATGTATGAATGCATCTATGCAATCACCACCCAGATTAGGAAATAGAACATTTCCAGTATGTCAGAAAGCTCCCTCATGCTCCTCAGTCAACTACCACTTTAACCTCTATTCCCATAGATCAGTTTTGCATGGGTTTGAACTTTCTATAATCAAATTCTATAGTATATATTTTGAGACTTACTTTGATCAACATTCTGTTGCTGCTTTTATCAGTAGTTCATTTTTTTTTTATGGCCATGTAGTGTCTGTAAATGCCATATAGCATTGGTATACTGTGTGAATGTGAATATACCAACAATTATCCAATATGAGTAATCCTGCTACTAACATTCTTAAACACATCATCTGGTAAACATAGGCGCTCATTTCTGTGGTATAAGCACAAGAGTGAAACTGCTGGATCATAGGGTAATTGTACGCTTAAGCTTTAGAAGATATGCCAGTTTTCCAAAGTGGTTGTACTAATTTACATTCCTATTTGCAGTGCAGAGTTCCACTTGCTCCACAGTTTTAAGCTGCATTTCCTTGAGGAATAATGATGTTGAGCATCTTTTCTCAACCTGCTCAGGCCTTTTGCCTATTTTTTTTCAAACTGAGTTGTCTGGTTTTTTTATTTATTGATTTGTAGGAGTTCTTTACATACTATGGATACAAGTCCTTCATTGACTCTATGTATTATAAATATTGTCTCCTGGTCAAAGCTTGCCTTTTCACTCGTGTCTTTTAAAGAACAGATGTTCTTATATTTAACGAAGTCCAGTTTATCAAACCTTCTTTTATGCAGTGCTTTTGTATACTGTTTAAGAAATCTTTGCCTACCCCAAGTTCATGAAGATCTGCTCTTATGATCTTCTGCAAGCTTTATTTTAGATTTTGTGCTCATGCTTGAATGATAGTTTAGCTGGGGAGAAGATTCAATTTTCCCTTAACACTTTGAAGCCACTACTTAACTGACTGCTAGCCTCTACTGTTGCTAAAGAGAAGCCTGCTGTCATTTTAATTGTAGTTCTTTTGTAGGCAATATTTTATTTTCTCTCTCACAGATTTTTTTTCTTTTTATTCATTGATGCTCTATAGTTTCACTACAATGCTTAGCTATGAGTTTATTTTTATTTATCCTGTCCAATATTTATTTTTGATATGAAAACTCATCTTCATTTTTGGAAAATTCTCAATTTTTATCTCTTCAAATCTTGCTTCTCCAACATTCTCTTCTTCTGGAACTCTTATTAGATGTATACTGAAGTCTCTCAATGAAGCCTACATTTCTCTTAACTAGTCTTTTGTATTTCTTACCTCGGTCTTTCTGGGTCACATTCTCAGTGAATTCCCCAATTCTATCTTCCAATTCACTCATTTTATCCTTGAACTGGGTCCAGGTACGTGTTGTATAATGGATTTTTATTTCAATGCCTATATATTTAATTCCCCAAATCTCTAATTGTTGTTGGTTTTTTGTTTCTATTTTGGTATCTGTTTCTTTTTCCTTTCTACCTGCTTTTGTTTTACAATTTTTTTTAAGTGGATCATATTGCTTCATCTCTTTGAACATCCTAAGCAATCTTCTTTAAAGTTTTTGTATGCCTATTGCTTAAAATTAATTTCATCTGAAGTAAATTCATAGTTTAATGGTTTGTTAGATACCATTCTAAGCATTAGAATTTGTCCATTCTGGAATTTTATATTTGTGGGAGACTAATTAGTGGGAGACTTTTAATTTTTGATTTTCCTTTTTCTCTCCCATCCCTTTGTGATCACTTCTCCAGGCCACAGGCTCTGTGATCATACTGGCATCATGGGAAACTTTGCTAAGTTATTGTTGTAAGGCAGTGTTTTTGCCTCCCCACCTCCTCAACTTTCTATAAAACCTTGCCATAGGTAGTAGGTTGGCAGATTTCCCCAGCATCCTCTTGTAAGTGGGTACTTTGAGCTAGAAGCCTTGCTCCAACTTTCATGGAAGACATTGAGTCCTCATTATCCGTAAGTGTTTAATACCCAACTACCAGAATTCATTACTTTGAATGTCTATTCCATTTCTGATCTTGTTTTTGAGTCTAGTTATGTATACTCCAGGTCCCTGGGTGACACAAATAGTTTGTGCTTGACTAACCTCAAGGTTGACAGTTTGAACCTACCTAGCAGCCCTACAGAAGAAAGGCCTGGTGAACTGCTTCCATAAAGATTACAGCCAAGATAACCCTAGAGAAAAGGACAGTACACACTACAGGGGAAGTCAGCACAACTGGACTAAACCAAAGATAAGAAGTTTCCTGAATACAATCAAACACTTCAAGGGACAGAGTAGCAGGGGCGGAGGCCTGGGGACCATGGTTTCAGGGAACATCCAGGTCAACTGACATAACAAAGTTTATTAAGAAAATGTTCTGCATCCCACTTTGGTGAGTGGCGTCTGGGGTCTTAAAAGCTAGCGAGTGGCCATAAGATGCATCAATTGGTCCCAACCCACCTGGAGTAAAGCAGAATGAAGAACACCATGGACCAAGGAAAGTACTAGCCCAAGAAACAGAAAGGGCCACATAAACCAGAGTCTTCATCAGCCTGAGACCAGAAGAACTAGATGGTGCCCAGCTACCACAGTGATTGCCCTGACAGGGAACAGGAGAAAAGTGGGGTGCACAACTCAAATTCTAATAAAAAGACCAGACTTCATGGTTTGATTGAGACTGGAGGGACCCTGGAAGACATGGCCTCCGGACTTTCTGTTAGCCCAAAACTAAAACCATTCCCGAGGCCAACTCTTCAGACAAAGGTTAGACTGGACTATGGGACATAAAAGGATACTCGTGAAGAGTCTGCTTCTTAGCTCAAGTAGATACATGAGACTAAATGGGCAGCTCCTATCCAGAGGTGAGATGAGAAGGCAGAGAAGGTCAGGAGCTGGCTGAATGGACACAGGAAATCTGGGGTAGAAAGGAGTGTGCGGTCACAGTATAGGGAGAGCAACTAGGGTCACATAACAATGTATGTATAAATTTTTGTATGAGAGACTAACTTGAATTGTAAACTTTCACTTAAAGCACAACAATTTAAAAAAAAAAAACCTAGGGAGCAGTTCTACTCTGTAACACATGGGGTCACGATAAGTTGGAATCAACTCGATATCAATGGGTTATGTATTTTTTTCTTTTTATATTACTTCTATGTGTTTGGAGCAAGAGTAGAGGTGTTTTGGTGAAGCCTGAACTATTTTGCCTGAAAGTCTTAGTTTTTTAATGGCCACATTTTAAAACTATCCATTTGCAGGTTCAACTCTGTCTTGTAATAAAAGATAAGGTAGGTTTTGAGGGAGAAGAGAGCAAGAGCTAGAATTCTTACAATTAGTATAATGCTAGCTTATTAGGACTAACCCATAGATTTTAGCATTGGAAATATCCAAGGAGAGGGTTACCAGTGTTCTACTCCATGATGTTTAAATCATTTAGGCCCTGGACTTGATGTTCCTCTTCGTTACACTCCTCCTATTCTAAATAATAATGCAGCTAACATATATTGAGTAGTTAACTGTGTGCCGGGTGGTTAAGTATATATTTTGATATGCTATTTTATTTAATTTTCACAAAAATCCTGAGTTCTATTATCATCTTAATTTTATAAATAAAGACATGGGGGTTTAGAGAATTAAATAACTTGCCCATATTTACACAACTAATCATTAGCAGAGCTTGGATTGAAACACAGGTAGTCTGACTCCAGATCCAAGTTCTATGGCCTTTTCATAGAAAAATACACTTTTCTAATATACTTGACTTTCCTTAGCCTTGCTACATGAGATTTTACGGCAAGCCACTGGGTGTCACCTGTAAATGCCACTTCCCCGTGGGATATGCTTTTTTTATGATGGGTGAGAAATAACTTTTCCTATGTTTAGTAAGATAACAGAAACAACTGCTGACAAGGACCCTGTGAAGAAGGGGCAATACAGCTGAGTAGTCAGAGGTTAGTATCTATGACCTTCGCTGGAAACAAGAATTAAGACTCCAATTTTAATTCAAATGTAGGCTTTTATGCAGACCTTTTTTGTTTGTTTTGGGCATATAATGGAAGTACTTACCTCTGCTAAGTCTTCAAAGCAGCTTCCTACTAATGGATGGGGACTGCCTTCATCTGTCATTTCTACAGTGTCTTCTATGTGGCCCAATAACTTTACACTAAGTTCATGTATATCTACTATACGACTAAATATATTTTCTACATCCTGTTGGAGGGAAAACACATTAATTTAGTTAGGTTATAAAATAATAAAAATCAAAATTTGAGCCAATAAGTCAGTTTATAATCACAAAATTAACACGGTAAATACAGTGAGAAATGTTAATCGTTTAAAAATATAAATAAAAGATAATTCAAGAATTCCTTTTGCAATGAGGTATAATTTGCAAATACATTTCTCTAGCTCAGTGGTTCTCTTTGAAACTTTGTGGTCTCAGGACTCCTTCACACTCTTAAATTACTGAGGACTCCAAAGTGCATTTGTTTACCAATATATCTATCAATATTTACCATGGTAGAAATAAAACCCAAGAAATTTTAAAATATTCATTAACTCATTTAAAATAACGATCAACTCACTATATGTTAAACAGCATTTCTGTGAAAAGCATATTTTTATAAAACATTTAGTGAGAAGAATGGCACTGTTTTATATTTTTGTAAATCTCTAACATCTGGCTTAATAGGGGATAGCAGGATTTTCATGCTATATCTTTACTCAATCTGCTGTGATACAGTGTTTTAGTTGAATTATATGAAGAAAATCTAGCTTTGCACAGATATTTCATTGGAAAAGGGAGTATTTTAATAGTCTTTTCAAATAATGGAAACCCTGGTACCGTAGTAGTTAAGTGCTACGTCTGCCAAAATGTCGACAGTTCAAATTCACCAGGTGCTCCTTGGAGACCCTATGGGGCAGTTCTACTCTGTCCTATAGGGTCGCTATGAGTCGGAATAAACTCGATGGCAATGGGTTTGGGTTTTTTTTTTTCTTTGTTTGTTTGGTTTTTTTTTTTTTTTTTTTGGTTTCAAATAACTGTGGATATCTTTTTCTCTATGTAATTTTTACCTGATATAATATTTACATACCATAAAATTCACCCTTTCAAAGTTCGGTGGTTTTTAGTATGTTCATAGACTTGTGCAACCATCACTACTATCCAATACCAGAATATTTTCATCACCCCCAGAAACTCCATACCCATTAGCAATCACCCCATTCCTCCCTTCTCCCAGCCCCTGGAAACTTCCTGTCTCTGTGGGTTTGTCTATGGTGGACATTTCATCTAAATGGAGGGGATATCCTTTTTTGATACAACACCAAAACTCAACAAATGGTAGTTTCTTGAAAGTTAGTTATGTGAAATTTGAAACCATACCAATTTTGTACCATAGCCTTAAAATCCATTGGTCTATTCTGAACTTTGAATGGATCATTTATCCATGCACATTAACTTTGAAAATACTGGTTCACTAAGTTCTGCAGATCATCCAAACGTTAACACATTTCACTATGCAACATTAAAAAACCAAACTCATTAACAGCAGCACTGATGGTGGGAGTGGATACAAGTTTTCCAAAATTCTAATTTAAATCTGAGAGCTCAAATTTTATCACTGGTAACAAATATTGCCAGTTGTTTTCCTTGAAGTGGCAGGCTCACTTCATTCATATTTTAGAAAATGTCTACCAAAATATGCAAAGTATAAATACCACAGTTTGCCAATTTCAGATAAAATTAGTGTTTCATGAAAGAAGTGGCTAGTTCACTTCACAACTCAAACAATTGCACGGTAATTTCCCTAAAGATAACCACCATACTTTGGTATGCAGCAGAAGCGCTTTATATGTACTTCCTACCTGCCTCAGCTCTTCTCTGACCCAGTCTTTCTCCTGGCATTCCAGGCTCTTGTTCTACCCAGCAATGACAAATAATTTATATATGGTCCCCTTTCACTTCATTCATTCATTCTACTCTTATTTTTATTACAAATAGATACATATACAAGATGCTCAAAGTAACACTTTGTGATTTCTGTAAGATTTTCTGTAGGTTGTTGTTCTCTGTACGTAGTTGCCGAAGTGTGAGCTCCAACCTTGTATATAACAGAATGAAAGGTTCCTCAGTCCTGTGCCATCTTCACAATCATTAGTATGTTTGGGTCCATTGTTATGGCTATTGTGTCAATGCATCTCATTGAGGGTTTGCCTGATTTTCACTGACCCTCTACTTTACTAAACATGACGTCCTTTTTGAGCAATTGGTCTTCCCTGATGACATGTCCAAAGTAAGCAAGCCAAAGTCTCATCATCTTCACTTCTAAGGAGCATTGTGATTGTATTTCTTCTAAGACTGATTTGTTCGCTCTTCTGGTACTCCACTGTATAGTCAATATTCTTTGCCAACACTACAATTCAAATATATCAATTCTTCTTCTGTCTTCATTTTTCAGTGTCTAGCTTTCACCTGCATATGAGGTAATTAAAAAAAACCATAGCTTGGGTAAAGCCAAAACCAAACCAGCTGCCATCAAGTCAATTTCGACTCACAGCAACTCTACAGGACAGAGTAGAACTGCCCCAGAGGGTTACCAAGGAGCAGCTGGTGGATTCGAACTGCTGACCTTTTGGTTAGCAGTCGACCTCTTAACCACTGCGCCACCAGAGCCCCTGGGTAAGGCACATGTTAGTTATTTAAGTGACATCTTTCTTTCTAAAACTTTTAAAGAGGTCTTTTGCAGCAGATTTGCCCAATCAATATGCCATTTTGTTTCTTGACTGCTGCTTCCATGGACACTGTTGATCCAAGTAGAATGAAATCGTTGACGACTTTAATTTTTTTTCCATTTATCATGATGTTATCGGTCCAGTTGTGAGGATTTTCATTTTCTTCACGTTCAGGAGTAATCCATACTGACCTTCATCTGTAAGTGCTTCAAGTCTTCTTCATTTTTGACAAGCAAGGTTGTGTCATCTGCATATCACATATGTCCACCTTCTCAGATTATTTTTTTCAGCATACAGATTGAATAAGGTGAAAGGATGCAACTCTGCTGCACACCTTTTCCAATTTTAAATCATGCAGCAGCTCCTTATTTTGTTTGAACGACTGCATCTTTATCAATGTACAGGTTCCACATGAGCTCAATTAAGTGTTGGAATTCCCATTCATAATGTTATCCATAATTTGTTATGGTCCACACAGTTGAATACCTTCACACAGTCGGTGAAACACAGGTAAAGATCTTTCTGGTATTCTCTGCTTCTGACCAAGATCCATCTGACATCAGCAATGATATCCCTCATTCCACATCTTCTTCTGAACTCTGTAGTTTAGATTCCTGGATAAAGACTCTTGTCATGGGGTATGTATTTAAAATTTTGGTGTATATTTTCTTTAAAAAGGTACAATGATTCACCCTCCCATCAATAGTGTATGGGAGTAACAGTCTTGCCAAATCCTTACAACAGTGAATACTGTCAATTTTAACTTTATCTTGCAATTATTTGATTAACATTGTTTAATTTGATTCTGTCCTATAGGGTCGCTATGAGTTTGAATCGACTCGACGGCAATGGGTTTGGTGGGGTTTTTTTGGTTTTTATCAGTGACTATGGTTTTTTTTCCAGATCAACTTTATTGAGATAGGTTCACATACAATAAAATACACTTATTTTAAGTGTACATTATTTATGAGGGTTTACATATGTATCCACCCTTGTAGCCACCACCGTTATCAAGATACAGAACATTTCCATCATCCTAATAAATTTTCTTGTGCCCCATCCCAGTCAAACCCCCACCATCCTTGCTTCCAGGAAACTAGTGATCTGCTTTCTGTCACTACAGGCTAAAATGATCCTTTCTAGAATATCAAATAACAGAATCATATACAGTCTTTTGTATCTAGTTTTTCTGTGCTCATGTTTTTGAGATTTATCCATGTTGTTGCATATATTACTACTTCATTCCATTTTATTGCTGGTAACATTCCATTGTATGGACATAACACAATTTATAACTCCGCTCACCTGCTGGTGGACATCTGGGTTGTTTCCAGTTTGGAACTAATAAAAATAAAGCTGTTATGAACATTCGCGAACAAGTTTTGTCTGGAAATGTTTTCACTTCTTTTGCGTAAAAACCTAGGCGTAGAATTGCTGGGTAGTGGTGCAAACAATTAAGCGCTCAGCTACTAGCCAAAAGATTGGTGGTTCGAACCCACTCAGAAGCTCTTCAGGAGACAGCCTGGTGATCTGCTCCCAAAAGGTCACAGCCTTGAAAACCCTACGGAGCAGTTCTACTCTGTACACATCAGGGTCACCATGAGTCACAACTGACTCAATGGCAACTAACAACAACAACATGGTTAGTTTATATTTAATGTTATAAGAAACTGCCAAAATATTTTCTGAAGTTTTTATGCCAGTTTATCTTATCACAAGCCACAAGCAGTTGATACACATCCTTTTCAATCTTTCGAATTATTGGTCTTTTCAATTTTAGCCTTTCTAAAGAACGTGTAGTAGTATTTCATTGTGTTTTTAATTTGTATTTCCCTGATGACTATTCAGAAGCCCTGGTGGCACAGTGGTTAAGAGCTACAGCTGCTAACCCAAAGGTCAGCAGTTTGAATTCACCAGCTGCTCCTTGGAAACCCTACAGAGCAGTTCTACTTTGTCCTATAGGGTCGCTAGGAGTCGGAATCGACTTGACAGCAACAGGTTTGGGCTTTTTTTGGGTTTGATGACTATTCAAGCTGAGCATATTTTGAAGTGCTTTTCTGGCCATTTATATATCTTTCTTTATAAAGTGTTCATATTTTTTGCCCATTAAAAAATAATCAGGCTGTTTTTCTCATCACTGAATTGTAAGAGTTCTTTATATTCTGGATACAAGTCTTATGTTAGATATATACATTTCAAATATGTTCTCCCAGTCTGTGACTTGTTTTTTTTATTTTTCTGACAATGTCTTTAGAACAAGTTTTTCATTTTAATAAAGTCTAACTTATGAATTTTTTAATTTTATGGTTCTTGATTTTTGTGTTCTAAGAAATCTTTATCTTTTGCTCCTTTTAGACAACTTTATTGAAATATAACTTACATACTATGAATTTCATCCATTTAAAGTGAACAATTCAATCGTTTTTAGTATATTTACAGTTTTGCAACCATTACAACCTACTCCTTTATTTTTTAATGTCTACTTGTTACTATATCTTGAACCTAAGTCCCAGAGTCTCTAGTGAGCATTGTTTCTTAATCAATCACTCTTGGCTGTGTGGCTACAGTTTCAGGAATTACTGGACTGTAACCACCTTTCACAACCTGTTCTCACTCAGCATATCCCCAGCACCCAATTAGGTTAGTATAATGACTATTGTAAGTTTCAATGTTACTGGCTCCCTCCTTTGTGCTCCCAGTACCCAGTCACACTTCGATTACCGTAATTACCTTAGTGTACTGCAATTTAAGTTTGTAACTCTGACTTGACTAGACTGAATTTCTTGAAGGCAGGAATTATTTCTTATTCATCTTTGAACCCTCACTGCCAAGCATGGTGCCTTACAACATAGTTGGAACTGATGAAATGCTGGTTGAGTGACTTGAATGAGCTTAAAATAAATCAAAATACCTTCCACCTATACAAGAGACTTTATTCTTTAGAATAAATAAATCTTCTAAATTCTTTAGAAGATTCTGTGAATTCATTTTCACTTAAACCATCAGTCTAATTTAGATTTTGTCTTTTAATTTCTGATCTTTAATTTTATTAAACTGTTGTTAGCACTTTGTGATCATAGTCACTATAAATCAAGTCCCACACACGATTTAAAAAAAATTAACAAATTAGCAACTATGAACTATACAAATTCAAATTTGAAGTGGTCATGCAAATTTTAACAACAGGCAGTGATATACATATATACAATGATACTTACATTGGTTGAAAACAATTTTGAATTGGAGACAAAGGGCTCTCTAAAAACTTTTATAATTAGATTTAGCTCCCTTATATATTGTCGAATTTCTGCCATAAATGCTTTTACCAAATCATAATAGGTTTGCTCTCCTGAAGTGGAAGGCTCTTCATCAGTTAAAGATAATACATTTATATCTTCTACATCTTGATGAAACATATCCATCAATACCTATGTAGTCGGAGATATAGAGAAAAATAATAAAATATGAATCTATACTCAAATTTGAAGTTAAACGTTTAAAGGAGATCACTGAATACAGTTCTTAATGATAAAAAAAAAGTAGATACAAATCAACTGATTATAAAGTATCTTATTAATTCTGAGTTTATTTTACTATTAATTTAAAATTATATTTTACCATATTTAAGCAATGAAAACTGAAAGAAACAATATGTAATTTGAAATTAAAAGGATTAGTTTTAAACTTTTTAAATTATGAAGATTCAGATTGTTTTGTAGTTTTATCAAATAACTCTGCTCTAGTATCATTTCTAAAGGCCCACAGAATATCTACTCTTGGATACATGGCTACCGTCCCCTCCACACCATCTCTAAAACAGAATTCTACTTCTGATAACACAAACTGCCTCCTCCAAGTTCTATCAATACCAATACCAATACATCTCTCTCTTTAACCTATTACTTCTAATTTGTCCCCAAATCCTGTGCTAGATTCCTCTGTTATCTCTGTTCCATTCCCTTCCCATTATCACCTTACTCAAGGGCCTCACCACCTTATATTTGAATAATTCTTATAGTTTTTTAGTTGGCCTCTTTGTCTACATTTGTTGGAAGTGGATCAAAACAAATCCTGTCTTCTCCAAAAAGTCTCCTATTACTCTTGCTGAAACTCATCTTTTTCCCTCTGTGAACTTTTCCAACATCATTATCCCTATAACACAATAAAATATGGTAATATTTTATTCTACATTACTTTCTGCTCATTTCAAGAATACAAATATCCCTTCATCAACTCTGGAGCCTTGTCTTATACTTCTCTTGCATCTCCTCCCTATGTGAGCCCATACTAAATCAATAATCTGTATTCATTTTTTAATAATTTTTTTTAACCAAATAATGATACATTAAAAAAAAAAAAATTAAAACATTTGAAGCTCTTCTTGCTACCCACCCCCCCATGCCAACCCCAAGGCTTCTCTAAAACAGAATTCTACATCTGGTATCACAAACTGCCTCCATCAAGTTCTCAATCAATACTAGTGTCTGTCTGTCTGACTCTCTCTCTCTATCCTATTACTTCTAATTTGTCCTTAAATCCTGTCTTGGATTCCTCAGTTTCCTCTGTTCCACACCCTTGGTGATTTTGACTGTATATGGTTCACATTCTGAAAAAAACAAACACTAAAGCATAATTAAATGGATTCAGTAATCAGAGAGAATATTCCAGTCAGTAAGAGTAGAATGAGAAAAAAACGGAATGAAATGTTTCATCACAAAATGTTTTCCTTTCTGTAAATTCATTATCATAATCTGAAAATACTGTGGCAGGACAGTGCAATGACTAAGAGCTTTAGACTCAGATAGATACGGAGATTAAGTTTAGGCTTTGAAACTTCTCAAAAATTCTGGACAAATGTCTTAATTTCTCTGAGTTTCAGTTTCCTTTTTGTAAAATATAGATAAGAGCACCCACCTTAGAGGAGTATTTTAGGGACCAAATGACATAAGTCATATATATGCTTAACTTTCAACAAATGATTACTCTTAATATTATTAGAGTAAAACCATACAAGAAGTATCTAGAGAAACCTAAGAATTAAAATAAAACTCCCACGAGTTTAGTACTTTCACATTTAAAAAAATTGTCTTCAAGTAAATCCATAACTTTCTAAGTCATTTAATCCAAATGAAATTATAAGAAATTTACTGTTAAGAGACTATTACTAGTATTAACCCCAAATACAGCAATACTAAAAGAAAAATCATATGACATGCTTAAAAACATTGTAATGTTATCTAATATACTATGTCTATAAGATGACATCTTGAGTACTTGCTATTAAAGTACTGGAAGTATCTCTTAACACATAATATATAATTTTATTCTGCCTGAATAGTATGTTACACTCCAATAAATCACAAAAAAAAAAAAAAAAAATTTAAGAACAAAACACACAGAAGCTCAGTCTCCTACCTTATCGGCACACATTGCCACTTTAATATCTTGTTTTGTAATTTCATAGTGCCGTATATTTCGTACATAATTCCCCACCAGCTTTAAAATGTCTGCAGAAATGTATTCTAATACTGCTACTATGTAAGCAGAAACTTGGTGGTCAATTTTATAACCTAGGACCTCCTGGAAAATTAAAAGAAAAACATGTCTAAACGTCACATACTATAAATTTAACACACTGATTAAAAATAAAAAACACGTATGCAGTTCAGCTTAACTTTCACTGAAGCCCTGTAATTATCAACATTTAAGTGTTCAACTATGAATTATATATATATTGATATTTGCAAATGTAAGTTTAAAAAAGGTAAGTTAAAAATACCTTTGATCATATAAAACACTTGAGAAGTATGTACTACTAAATAAAGAAATCCCTCACCTAGGAAGAAAGGGTAAAATGAAAGCCCAAATTTAGGAGAGGGGAGCAAATGCTCTTTGTTCCCTAACTCAGATTACCCAGGAGTAACTATAACAAGAGAGTTTTTTCTCTTATTTAGAACAAGAGTTAATACATTATTGCCAGCAAGAATCTCTACTAGCCTTATATCTCTATCTTTTCTGAAGGAATCTGGGCTCCCCCAAGCCCTAGTGGTACATTCCTTGGTATGGAAAAAAATTCAGGCTATGTCCTAATGAACAATGGTAGTTATTAAGAGTTATATAGTTCTATAATTATACTTCAAAGAAAGTATGAACTTTTGTGGGGTTGACTAGTTTCTATAGGAAAACAAACACTATTTTCTAAACAATCCAATTAGGAAAATTTTTTTTTGAAATAAGAAGTATACTTAAAAAGTTGGGGGCAGGATGCATTTGCCTTTTAGGATATGTAAAAACTAATAAACGTACAGTGATAAGGATGTTTTAATAAACTGAAACAACACCCAAAATCAGATAAAACTCAAAATTCAGGGTCATTAATAAAGCATGCACATGTATCAGTTTGTTAATTCTCTTAGAATATAATTAAATGAATGGCTAATTAGAATCATGAAAACAGAATTATAAAGAAGTTATGACATTACTAATAATATAGCAATTTTCCACAACTTGCACTTATTTTCTCAGACCAGTCAGTAACATATAAGCAGCTATTTCTACTTAAACAACCCCAGCGGAAAACATAGCTTCTAGATAGCCATAAAAGCCATCCAAGTGGTTAGCTCTGAATCTTGGACAAGATCAAGCAAACACTGAGACCCCTAACACTGTCACTTAGGAGCCTTGTGAACTTGTGCAAGTTACTTCTGTCAGCCTCTGTTACATCACATAAAAACTGAAGATAATAACTTGGTTGAGCAATAAACTTAGGGACAATGTATGTAAGCATTAGCAGTTTGCTTATATTCCAGTAAGTACAGAACTATTGCTATCTAAAAGTATTATTAAGGTTTTATTACTACACCGAAACCTCTAAGAGCTGGAACTTGACAGGACTGCCTTGGTTTTCTGGGTCTCACAAGTTCCGTGCCTTTGACAGGGTGCAGTCTTACCACTTTTCTATCACTCTCTTTTAGTGGAAAATATTTGAGTTTTCCTTCTCTGACAGGTTTCCATCTTATACAGGTTCAGGCTTTTGCAGGCTGTACTGTATAATAATGTACCTATATTTTTGATGTAAGAGTCAATCAATAGTTTGCTCACTGTATTAAATAAAGTAGAAATAACATTACTAGAGTCGCTAGCAGTTACTCTTTCTATTTGTTCTGGAGAGACGGAATTGACTGACTGATTGATTTAAATGACAAGTAGGACTAGATAATGTAGGTAATCCTCAGGGAATTTTTGTCCAACCAAAGGCTGCACATTGCCCTACAGCAGTCTCACAGAGGTCCCTACACAAAATATTAGTGTCTGAAGGATTTATAGGGACAGCTGGCTCGAGCCAGCAAGAAAGGATGATACATTCTCTTTGAGGCTCTATTAACACCCGAGATTAATGAAATCCATAATAACAACTTTCCTTAATTCTTTCAATTTGCTTCATTATTATTGTTGGTATGAAACTACTTTAAAACACATTGCCCAATTTATACTTTCCTTTTATCATAGCAGGAGCCCTGGTGGCACAGTGGTTAACAGCTTGGCTGCTAACCAAAAGGTCAGCAGTTCAAATCCACCAGCGGCTCCTTGGAAACCCTAGGTGGCAGTTCTAGTTTGTCCTATAGGGTCCCTGAGTCGGAACTGACTCAACGGCACCTTACAACAACAACATTATCACAGCATTCCTCCCCACCATATGAATTTCTGAAAAAATTAAAAGAGAATTTCACTCTTCACTTGACTCTATATCCATGAAATATATTCTTAGAGTTTAAAAATAGTGGGTTTTATTTTGCTCTTAAAAGGCAAAAAGGCAGTATTTCAGCATTACCTTTAATAAAGGATGAATTTTTTCTACTGGGAGAGATAAAGGGTTTCTTCGCTTCCTCTTTTCAATAGCCGATTGGGCATCAGCTATTGCCCACTTATCAATTGGATGAGGGAAACTTTTTTGAACACGTTCCTTGGAAAATAGGAAAATAACAACTAAGCAACATATATATTAAATAATGCCCATTACTTGCAATTTACTTTTAAAATCAAAGAATTTTAAAATCAAAGAAGATTACCAAAAGCAGAGCTTTCCCACATGTGCTATAATTTACACTAAAAACTTACTTAAGCTATGAAAAAACTATAAATGCCAATGTATTTGTTTTTTAATTAGGCAATTAGGAGACTAAACATTCCTTGTATTATCTAGGAAGGCAAATCACATCCTGAATTTCAATTTCACTGTAATAAACCTAATGACAAGAATGAATAAGAGAAGTAATTTTAAAACATTACTTGATCTAAGCTCGAGAAGCAAATATCTAAATCCAGTTCTCATTTGTCCTTACTTTCGATACCAATTACAAGCTCAAATAGCGTTTTGCAATTGAAACCTCTAAGATTTTTAATTTTTGTTTTTCCATCATGCAATAGTACTTGACTTCAAAACTATTTGCAAATCATGAAAATCAATGCTTTACATTGGTAACAGCAATTTTAATGCACTGTAGCTTGTCATTAGAGTTAAAATAGGTCATTAATTTTGAACAAAATACTTCATTTAATTTCCAGCAGTTATTCTGTCAAAATTTCCAATGAAAGTGAAAGAATTCATGTTAATGTAGCAGCTGAATTTTCTTATTTTAACAAGCTAATGTAATTCACTTCAAACAAAAGGTACTTTCATCTTTTTAAGTTTTTAAAATCCACTTGCAGCATACCATAATTTACACCAGTAGAGGTCGCTATTAAATAACTAATTTTTTAATTGACGGCTATTCAACTACCTGAGTCCCTGGGTGGTGCAAAGGGTTAATGTGATGGGCAGCTAACAAAAGGGTGGGAATTTCCAGTCCACTCAGAGGCACCTTGGAAGAAAGGCCTGATGATCTTCCAAAAAGTCAGCCATTGAAAACCCATGGAGTACCGTTTTACTCTGACACATACGGGGTCGCCATTAGTTGGAATTGACTCCACAGCAACTGGTTTACTGGTTTTTATAAAAACTACTAGAAAAAATTAAACATCATCCCTGATTATAAATCTGAATGAAAAGTTTTGTCAGATGTTACTAAAATGGAAAATATGAGATTTCAGTGTGATAATCTGGGGAAAAAAGAAATACATTGATTCCAGGTACGTATAATGAGCACATTTAAAAACTGAGAGTGGTTTTAACTCATTCAATTTTATTTAAACAAAAAAAATTCTCTTCTTCCATGTTCAAGGCTAAATCAGTTGCCAAGTCAAAGAAGTGATCATTTTAATTCTAATTAATGGTACCAGAGGTGTGCTAAAAGACATTATTATAGTCAAAAAGTGGAATTTACATATTTTCTCAAATGCTTTGTTGAAAAGCTACTTGCCAGGATACTACCCTCATGTAATTAAGGCAATACAAAAGTCCAAAGTTCAGGAGAGCATGGTAAGGAGGAGAGAAAGGTACAGGGGTAAGAGTGGAAAGGAACATCTGAAATGAAACTCTTTCCCTTTTGCCAAATCAATATTTACACTGATAGATTTAACCATAGTTAACTGAGTGGGCTACCCTATGTTCCTGTGGCTTTCTAACTTTGTTTGACCTTAACTTACAGTAAAAAGTAATAAATTCTCAATACATTTTACATTACAACCTTATACACTCACACACACACTAAAGTTTCATAAAACAAAACCTGCCCTCACTATGCACAGTACACTGATATTTCATACTCTATTTCACTAAAAACAAAACGGTTGGGCAACGCACTAAACCGATTCCATGACTTACTTATGGGTCATGATCTGGAATCTGAAATCACTGATATATACTGGAGACAGAAAAGCAGAAGAAGAGGAAGTAAACAGAATTCAATCTGATAATTCTAAATAGATCTCACATATACCTTTGGAAAAAAAGCAATCAGCAATGGTGGAATTACAGAGGCAAACTGTAGGCCAAGGCTGAAATTGGGGGAAAAAGAAAATAAAATAGCAATCCTTATCCACTTCAATTTTATCCATCCCGTTCCAAATCTATCCACTGTTTTGAGAAAGGAAAGAAGGGGAAAGAAAATCTGGAATGATAAAAGAAAAGGTAAGAAAGGGAAAATTATAATGATAATAATTTTAACTTACTTGTTAGTGGATTAATGGACTCAAATTACTAAATATATATTTAGGAGGTAAGACCAAGGGTTGGAATGTATGGAAAAAGATTGGTGCCTTAAAATGTGGAAAAGCCACACTGAATTACTTTATCTCTTATAATGGTAAATTTAATTACAATTTTATAGCAGAATAAAATTTATTTTCATAATTATTCTTTTATTTTTTAAAAGAAGCCTAAGGAGGAACCAACCATCAACCAAAGATTCATGAATTAGAATTCTGCTACTTTCAAGATTAGTAATTTCATTTGTTTTAAATAAGAAACTCCATCTTGATTAATATCTAGTGGCTTTGGGAAAAAATAAGATACAGAGCTAAGGTTTGAGATACAACTTTATCTCTTATTAGGGGAACCTTGTCTTTTCCTTTTACATAATATGCGGGTTTAAATAGATTATCTTGAAGATCAATTCCAATACAAATGTTCTAGGAACCTATAAAGATTTCTACGCTTACACTTCAGTGCAAAAACTCAGCCCCCACACATACTTTTGAAGTCCTCTTAGTAGTAAGTAACAAGGCTTATAATGTGTAGGAGAAATTTTTTATGCTAAGAAAGGTAGAAAATATGTAGAAATTCCTGGGAAATCTAAGTGTTAATGAACATTAGAAATCATAAGGATTTTGTCAGTATGCCAAGGAAGAAGTTTAAAAAATGAAAACAAAAAGAAGGTAGATTTTTTAAATTTTAGGATAAGATGGCTCTGATTTAAAAAAAAAAAAAAAAAAAGGCTTAGGATAAGAGTCCAAGAATACTTGGTGCTCCTCTGAGTTAACTGGGGAGAAGAAAAATGTATCTGTGTCCTAAGAACCCAAGTTGGTTCAATGCAGGACCCCAGACCATAAGGGAAAACTAGAAGGACATAGCAAATGGAAATCAGTCTAGACATTCAGATAGAAAAAAGAAAAGGCATAATTATGAAAGGACAAGACACAAGAAAGTAAATAAAGGATATACTTTATCAGGGACATATCACAGAAAAAAATACTACTAGTTACATACTTTTTAAAGAGGCCCAAGGACAAATTAATAGCTCACTAGAAATCTTGTAACTACATGGTGGCAGTAACATTATTTTTTGCCTCTTTTATTTTAATAGAATATATACAGAAAATGATACTTATTATAGGAAAGGGAGAAACAAACCACATTGGAGAAGGTTTGATATATTATTTTCTAAAACTTGAATTAATTTGAATCATCAGGGCCAAAGTAACATATTCCTCCTCTCCATCCCAGAGCGTTATACACACTTTCTTAGTCATCTGGAACACTGCCTGATAGTAAAAAAAAAAGAAAGAAAAAACCCACTGCCTTGGAGTTGAATCCGACTCATAGTGACCCCTATCGGACAGAATAGAACTGCCCACAGGATTTCCAAGGCTGTAATTTTTATGAGCCCTGATGGCACAGTGGTTAAGAGCCTGGCTGCTAACGAAAAGGTCGGCAGTTAGAATCTCACCAGCCACTCCTTGGAAACCCTATGGGGCAGTTCTACTCTGTCCTATAGGGTCATTATGAGTTGGAATTAACTTGATGGCAATGGGTTTTGGTTGTTTCCCAATCTTTACAGAAGCTGATGGCCACATCTTTCTTCCACTTAGCGGCTGGTGGGTCCGAGCTGCTGATCCTTCAGTTAGCAGCCAAGTGCTTAACTACTGTGTCACCACGGCTTCTGGCAATAGTAAGCACTCAACTATTGGTAGCATAGATTAGTGAATGTTGGCAGTGTCAATAAAACAAAACCTCATTAATTTGAACTATGACAGTTCACAACTTGTGATGGTCTGTAGCATGAGTTATCAAAACTTTTAAATCAGCATAAGTGAGATTATAGACGTATGCAATCCAACTATTTTCAAGCATTTTTTTAAGCACTTATTTTCCTAAAACTGTATGACAAGAAATCACTTTTACTTTTCCATTAAAATAAATTTCCCCAGCTGCCTTAACATTAAGCAATAACTGCCACCCTACTTTGAATTATGTTTATACTTCAAAGTAATTAAACTGCATTCTTTAGAAAGATTTTAAAATTCAAATATTTCACAAATTCAGATTGTTCTATTTTTTAAAGTACATTTTCCTTACAGGTATCTAAAAAATTTTTACAAAATTTTGATGACTTCTCTCTCACCTCAAAATGTATTTGAAGGGCTAAATTCAGGGCACTTATTATTTTTTTAAAATTCTGTAAATGTGTAATATTGAATCCTAATGAAATATTGAAATTATAAAAATTGAAATATTGAATCCTAATGAAAGAAGCAAACAGGAAGTTACCTGCTCATAAAAGAATCTAAGACACCATTATATTCATCTAAACATTTCCACATCTCCATATCCTTATCTAAATATTCTTCCAGGTATGGTATAGGAAGAAGGGTATTTGACTACTGATTGGGAAAGATCTAGGTTCTTTTCAATCTAACTTATCATTCTCAGAGTCAATTTTCTAATACAAAATAAGGAGAATAATAACTACCCTGCAGTGTTGTTGTAAATACGTAGAAGTGCATATAAGAGTACTTTGAAATTACAAAGCTCTATAGGGTGGAGCCCAGGTAGTGCAGTGGTTAAGGGCTCAGTTGCTAATCAAAAGGCTGGCAGTTCAAATCCACCAGCCACTCCTTGGAATCCCTATGGGGCAGTTCTACCCTGTCCTATAGGGTTGCTGTGAGTTGGAACTGACTCGACAGCAACAGGTTTGGTTTTTTTCTGTGTTTTATGGGGTGGTGCAAATGGTTAAAGTGCTCAGTAATTGAAAGGTTAGCAGTTCAAATCTACCCAGAGGTACCTCAGAAGAAAGGCCTGGCGAT